GCATTTACTTCGGTTGAAAGATAATTTTCAAGTCACTGAAACTTTCCTGTTTACTTATTATCTTTAAGGTGGATTCATCGTTCTAGTTATGAATTAAGGTTTTCAACTTAGTTAAAACCCAAAGTTGTTCAAAACTTTTCTCAGTTGATCTCCCAGAGAGAGAAAAAAAACAACAACCACATGGAGCAAAAATTCTGAACTATAACTATGAATCCGCCTTCATGAAAAGTAGAGTTGTATTTAATTGAGTTTTTGAACTTTGGAGGTTAAAGGGGCATTCTAGGGTAAAATGATGAAATTAAAGATATACAGCACTCAAAATTATCTTTGCAATACTGTATCACATTTTGGAATAGAGTAATAAATAATAGAGTTATGAAGAAAACTCGATTTGGCTTTCAAACTAGGGCGAATTAATATAAGGCGATAGCAGGAGTACAAAAACAAAAATTTACATGTATTTAGTTTTGCTTTGGTGGCATAATGGCATTCGAAATCGTGGGGCGAAACACAGACACAAAATCAGCTGGTCTAATAACACCACCTTACATAAATTCGCCTTGGTTTCTTCTATTGTATGGGGACAGACCCAGTCTATTGAAAAGTAAGGTCCCAGAAAACGTCTCTATAAGTCTCTTAACGTTTCCGTCAATGTGTATGCGGCAGAAGCATAAACGATGAGCCGACCCTTGGAGAAAGTTTGCTCCGAAGTTTTGCGGTCCTTTACGCATGTGATGGTATGAGATTTACAACGGCATTATATACTATACATATGTATGTATGTACGAAAAGGCATCAGTTCCGCTGATCGTGGTTATTTTATTTGGTTAAAAATTTACTATATCTCCACCGAGTATATTTTATACATATAGCCAGAGCTGGGTCGTAATGATTCCTTTAGGAATCAAATTACTCCCAATTACAGAATACAAGGAATTGTAATTAGGAATCAATTCCTTCAGTCCACAGCAAAGGAATCGATTACTTTTTCAATTCCTTGAAGTAATTTCAAATGTAATTGGTTTTTTCTTTAATTCCATTACAAGGAATTTCATATTGTAATTGGAATAAATTACGTGCTAGTAATGTAATTTTTTTTCTCCAATTCCTTTGAAAGGAATTGAAAATGTAATTGATTTTTTTTCAATTCCATTACCTGGAATTGCAAGAGTTCTTTAGTTTTTTCAATTACTCAAAGGAATTGTAAAAGTAATCGAGAAACTGAAAGTTCATTCACGAATGTACAATGTGGAATTTTCGTTGTGGTCAAAGATTAAAATCGAAAGCACACATTGGACATCTTCTATGTATATCTATATATATAAAAATGTTGTGTTCGTATGTCACGGTCATCAAAACCCGAGAACGGCTGAACCGATTTGAATAATTTTTTTTTATTATTCGGTATAATACCAGAATCAATGATATCACAAAAATTTGGAGGGTTGCCACCTATTTGAAAATTTAAACTAAGTCAAATTGTTAAAAAAAATGAAATATTGCCATGTGGGTGTCAAACTAAAGAGTTTTAAGAAGGCTTACTGCCAAAAATATGTTTGAGGAGGGTTGCCATCTGTTTGAAAATTTAACTAAATTACATTGATAAAATAAATAAAATATTACAATATGGGTATCAAATTAAAGAGGTTTAAGAAAGATAACTGTTGGAAATATTTTTGAGGGGGCTGCCACCTATTTGGAAATTGTAACTCAGTTAAATTGATAAAGTAAATGAAATGTTGGCATGTGGGTGTCAAACTAAAGAGTTTTGAAAAGGCTTACAGTCTACCATGAACACTTCCAGAAATATGCAATACGAAAAGTTCGGTTTATATGGGAGGTGCCACGCCCCATTCTTCAACCATGCAAATTTTTCTCCATGAGTATGGAATTGGTCTTATATATGTATATATCACCATACCCAGTTCTAGTCCTCTACCACAAATATATGCAGTTTAAAAAATTCGGTTTTGTATGGGAGGTGCCACGCCCCCTTTCAATATCGAAACTTTTTTTAGCCTATAACCATCCGTGGAAAGTCTGCAGTATATTCCGAAATTTCAAAAAAAAGGTACGGCCTTTCTCGAGCTTTGCGAACAGAAACAAATGCTTTTCAAAATATGTATTAGTATAGACTAGCCAATATCTGCTTGTTTTGCGGATTAAAACACTACTACCGATGAAAATCGATGGATAAATAAGCAAGTTTGCAAGGGTTAGGTTGAAGTGGCTGCTAGGCCCAGAGGGCGCCCGATCATAGCCCATTGTGATTTGCAAGGGTTAAGTGAAAGTGTAATAATTTTTTGTATAAAATACTAGCAGGAAATAAGGTTACCCATACGTCATATCGTACATGACCGTATGACCATGTTTAAGTTTGATTTTTTTCATTCGCAATGAAAACTTAAAATGAAAATAACTTGACTAAATGACCTTATCTAAAAAAAAAAACGGTATACAGTTCCGTAACATACTACTTAAAATTAATTTTACGTCTCTCGGCGTTTTTTGTGTAATTTTAGCGTCGTTACAGTGTTATCATCAAAATTTAGCCATAGCAATGAAATTTGTTTATAAAACTCTTAGGAGGTAGGATCTCCAGTCCCACAGGGCTCGTAATTCAAGCGGACTCTATCCTCATTTGTAACGCAGGATACCAGTAAGAGTACTTCAAAGGCCCCAGAAGGCACGCCATTTTGGGTAGAATTAAGGGTACCATAATATATGCAATTAACTCGGTGCATTTTTATAAATACGCAGGGATTAGTCCAAGAGAACAGCAGTGCCCAAGGCAGCAACATTTATGGGTCTCATCTGCCGCGAAGCGCGTTCGCGGTAGGATCTGGAAAATTTAACCGTTACCCTATAAACTAAACAGCTACAGTCTAAGCTATTCAGTTTTCTTAAAGTCCAATTAGTAATACTACTTAGGTATAAGTTGTTTATTCAAGGCAGTTAGCAACCAAGAAATTTAACAAAGCTATTGCAATTCAACAGTAAACAATTTTTTTTTTATAAATTTTTCGATTACTTTTTAAATTACTTTGAGGAATGGAATTGGAAAAAAAATCAATTACATTTTCAATTCCTTTGAAAGGAATTGGAAAAAAAATTACATTTTCAATTCCTTTCAAAGGAATTGAAATAAAAGAAATTACATTACTAGCACGTAATTTATTCCAATTACAATATGAAATTCCTTGTAATGGAATTAAAGAAAAAAACAATTCCATTTGAAATTACTTCAAGGAATTGAAAAAGTAATCGATTCCTTTGCTGTGAGCTAAAGGAATTGAATCCTAATTACAATTACTGAGGAATATAATTGTAATTGTAATGTAATTGCATTTACCCAGCTCTGCATATAGCACAGAAAATTTGAAACTCTGCGTTGAGATCAGGTTGACTAAACAATTTAAAAAGTACTTATTGATGAAGGGGTTACTCTCCACCTCTTCCTCGCCTCTGCAGCTGAGACGAAAAAATCGTTGGTTGGGTATCCCAACCAGGGCTGCCAACTATCCTAAGCTATGAGGTCCCATATTGAGGATAAAAAGTGCCAAAATGTTCCAAATAGAAAAATAAAAGTGCCAAAAATGGTGCCATCCTTTGTAATCGTTCCCATTTAGCAATAAAATAAGAACCACCTTTCTAAAACAAAAGTGCAATGCCAAAATAAGGTAAACCAGTTGAAT